AGCCTCTCAGACCGGGAAATTGGCTTTGGCCGAAATCCCCTTGTGTTCGAGCCAGCAGAACGAAGCCACATCTAGTTTGTGTACAGTTTGTTTGTTCTCCAATTGAAAAGTGATGTTTTTCAGGTCTCACGGTCATGCAATGAGAATCGCGTGTGCGAAAAACAAGAAGAGCATTTGAGCATTTCATCGCCAGCAAGAGAGCCTGGGGTGCAGCGTTGGACTTACATTGTGGAAATTATGTTCTTACTTTGTAATTCGATCCGCAGTTGACTGCACAGCGGTTTGTGGGGCGGTCTGGGAATGGCAAAGGCCAAACAGCCAAGACAGCCAAGAAAGCCGTGCACCAGTTCCTGGCGACTGCAACGGCGCGAGAAGGCAAGGTGTCATTTGGATTAGATCAGTTTCGAAAATAAGCTACTGTACAATGTCAGAACTTTGACTGCTCCGTAGGCCAAAGAGCTTAATGAAGAGAAAATAAAAACGGCGACGGTGTACACGCCACCCGAGATTGTGGAAATTATACTCAGACTCAAGCAAGTTGACGGGTGGCTAGCGCGGCGTGCATGGTTCGCTTACATGTACGCAGCTCGCGTGAACGAGATTCTTATGAGCCAACCAGAACACTTCGATGAAGATGATGAGTCCAAGACTTCATTCTATCGAATGGAAAGATCATCTTGACGCACGATCTGCCCATGGATATGATTCAGAAGTTTGCAGGGCATACAAACATTGATGGCTTGGCGCGTCGTCAAGAAGCCCTATTCGGAGAGCAGCAAACGGGCCGGTCGATTCTGGAAGGTTTACCTTAGCCCGTCCGGAGATCATCACACAACCCTGACGGGTGCTGTGAACGCGGGCTTCCATGTGGATGAGTTGCATAGGGAGGGGCCAACTCGCACTGAGAGGCGATGTGAGCGACAACATTCACCAGCTGCTCAGCCATCAGAGCCGCCGCAGGCCACCGGGGTGGTGGACGGGAGACGCATCAAAACAAAAAAATGCATCAATAAATAAACAAAAATGCATCAAAACCAATAAAAATGCAGCAAAAAAGAAACGAGCAAAGGAAGGAAGGAAGGAAGGAAGGAAGGAACGAGGCAAGAAAGGAAGAGGAAGCAAGGAAGGAAGGAAGGAAGGGCTAGCGGGAGGAAGGAAGGAAGGTAGGTAGGCAGGTAGGTAGAAACGAAGCAAGGAAGCAAAAGTGACCGTTCTCTCCCGTCCTGAACCTATCACTGCAGACTGTCAGGATGCTTTGACTCATCCATCAACGCCGCAGGCCATTGCAGACGGGGCAGACCAGGACCCGCCCCGGAATCAGCACCAGTTCTTCCGGGACCACAGAGGAAGACCACGCCAACAACCAGCGCAGGCCACAGAAAGGGCAGAGCAGGATCGGCCGAAGTTCTTCAAGGTGTGCCATAAAAGAAACAAATCAGATGAATTGTGGTCACGCCGATTTGAGCCTGTTGTGTCAGGAAAAAGAAAGGGCTGGACACAAGTGAGGTGTTTACATCTCGCCGAGACGCTTTTACAATCTTAAAGAGACTTCGACTGCGCAGGCTCGCTGAATCTGGGTGTCCGTGGCGGGTGCTTCAGGCGACTACGCTCTCGTTGTGGTGCCGCGCGCATTTCGGAACATGGCGGTCACTTTTCGTGGCAGGCGCAAGGGAAACCTCGTGTTTTGGTGCTCCAAAGCCGACTTTTCGTGACAGGTGCAAGGGATCGGAGTTGCTTTATACTTCGAAACGCAGTTTTCGCTGCAGGTGCAGCACTTTATTTGTTGTGATCGTCGATCAGCTCAGATTTCTGACAGGTGCAGTGAATCGTGACTTTTGGACATGTGGTTCGTTTGCAGATTTCGTGGCAGGCGCAGTAATTGGTGAACCTCGAAGTGCAGATTTCGTGGCAGGTGCAGCACTTGGTGAACCTCGAAGTGCAGATTTCGTGGCAGGTGCAGCACTTGGTGAACCTCGAAGTGCAGATTTCGTGGCAGGCACAGCACTCTGCGACCCTCGATGTGCAGATTTCGTAGCAGCTGGCCCAGGTGTGACTGCCCCACCTGCCCCAATCTCTTTCCCAAGAGTTGTTCCAGTGCCAATCCCTTTCCCAAGGGTCCCCACCATCATCTCCATCATTTCCTCCTCCATCTCCACAACCTCCTTGAGGCTGCTTGTTCTGCCGAGCCAGCCTTCTGGCCTGGGAAGTGGTCCCAGACCCCTTCTTCCTCCCTGCCTTGTTCCTGTTCTCACCTTTTGCAAGGTGTTGCCTCTGCAGTTTCCACATCCATGCAGGGCTGTACTTGTCCAGTGGCTTGTTGGGCCACCACTTCTCTTCAGCATCATCCATGCCAAAGCTGATGTGGTTCATCCCTTTCACAAGGGGCTGTAGATGCCCCCTTTTGTCAAGGGTATGACAACACACAGTCTCTAAAATGTTTGAGTTCACAAAAGGGCTGCAGCAGGAACATGCCTTCTCATGTTTCCAAAAACAATTGACCACAACACATACCAACACACCTACACATTCAGTAACAACCTACACATACCCATACCCAACATAAAACAGGAACAACCTACACATACCCCAACAGAACACATAAACAAAACCATTTACAAAGGTTATTGCTTTACAGAAATACCCTCACACCCACCCACCTTCCCCACACAGGCAGCACATGTTTTTGACACATGCAAGTGTCTCAGTATGTTCTGTACAAAAACCTTTCCCAAAGGTTGCTTCTCATTTTTCACAGTCCTTTTCTCAAAGGTTCTTTATTCCAATTTGTCTTACACACCCTTTCCCAAAGGTGAACCCCTTCTCAAAGGTTTGAAGACATGGCTTGCTGAAAGCCAAAAAGGCTGCAAAAGTTGTTGTTGGGTTTTGCTGGTGCCAACATTGGAAACTTATACTTATACCTCAACCTGGGGGATGGCTGCCCAAACCCAAATAGATACAGGTATTCCCAAACCATAGTTTGGGGGCACCCACCGACCCACCCCACAGTAGAACAAAGCCAGCTTTTTTTCAACACAAAACATTGGTCTGCAGGGCTGCTGGTGAGCCTGGAAGAACTTCCCTTGTGAAAGGGTTGGTGTGAAGAACCCACTTGCTCCTTTTTACAAAGGTGCCTTGACTTCTCTGCAGGTGTCATGCTTTGCTGAAGCTCTTGTGCTGCCTCCTCTTCATCTTCTGCTGTGTTTGAGATCTGTTGTACTCTCTCAGCTAAAGTCAGCTGGCCCAACTTTCTCAAGTTGTTGGGTTTCAGAATTGATTTCATCGGCTTGGTTCCCTTTCCCAAAGGTTTTTTGGTTGAACCCTTTCCCAAAGGTTTTACCACTTTCCTCTTTGCAGAGGTTGCCTTCATGACCTTCATAGCCTTCCCCATGGCTTTGACAGATCTGAGCCAAAAGGCTGTAGGTTGTGATTTGAAGTGATGATTTACTGCTTTCTTAGAAAATAGAAATCTGATGAAATCTGATGAAATCTGATGAAATCATGGTTTTCATCAGATTTCATCAGATTTCTATTTTCTAAACAAGAAACAAAATACCCCTCAAATCCCTTGAAACCTTTACCAAAGGGTGCCTTTGATGTGGGCATACCCTTTTCCAAAGGTGTCTTTCATTGCTATTAAACCTATTTAGATTCCAAATATGTGAGCAAATATGTGTTTATATATATATAGATAGATATAGTATTATATCTATAGTTTTTATTTCTTTGGTTTTGTTTGGCCTGTCTTAGGCATTGGGTCTCTGTGCCATGGTGCTGCCACTGCTTTTAGAAAACAACAAATTATGATTGAATCAAAAAGGTTCAGTGTTTCTTTTGGTCAGTATTTCTTTTGGTTCAGTGGCAGCACCTTGTGGCCAAGAACATGCAAACCCTTTCTCAAAGGTTTCTCACATGCCTTTTGAATTACTGTACACCTTTTCTCAAAGGTTACACCCTTTCTCAAAGGTTACACCCTTTCTCAAAGGTTTTGTTCTTTTCAACACCCTTTCTCAAAGGT